CCCACACGCATCACTCTAACACTCGAACACACACACACACTCACTACTAACTACAGCTATGGCAGCTATCGCTGCATCTAACCTATCGCTAGATAACTCCCTCTCTCTTGCCCACTGCGTCCTCCGGGCTCATCTGCAGACCTCCTTGCACAAGTCGCTGTGGCTTCAGAAACTCGTTGGTCTGCCCTTTGCCATCGGCCCTTGGTGCTCACAGTCCCCCTGTGGTACTTGCTGGACCGGACTGGGACTGACTGGACCTTCTGCTGACTGACTGTGGTCTCACCGCCATCCTACCGACGTTGTACTGCTGTTGCACTGCCGTTTAGTCCACCACTTGCCTCGCCACTTGACCACTTGCCAACTTGCCTATCTTCTAGAAGGTCTACAGCTAAGCTTCCAGAACTCACTAAGACTCCTACGCTATAGACCTACAGATCGAACCCCTGCTGTCTATGGACCTACGACAGGTCTACCAACTGCCTACGAATACACAGGTCACAGGTTCAATTCTCGGGGTCTACACAGATACTGTACATGGGTAGGGTGAGGTCTAGGGATCGAACCCTGGGTACTGCATCCGCTACTGCTAAAAGGTGAAAACTGTTTCACTCCCGCCGTCCTAAATTCGAGGTCTTCCGAGAAAATTTTAGTCCAAGGCGGGACCTTTACCTTTCTTGTCACGCTCATAGGCTCTGACTATGTCGGGAGCAGTCTCTAGAAGTTCTGCTTTCGTGAACCAGCGGTCGTCTTCCGGTTCCTGATAGGCAAACCGGACTTTATACTGTTTCTGGGGACGACCTCTACCTCCTGTCCTAAACACATCCTCTTCTACAATGCCCTCTATGTCATAGCTTCCATCCATATCCGGTGGGATCATGGATCTCCTGGAAGGGAACTGTTGACTAGTGACACACGGTAGCAGCTTTGAAGCATGAAACACAGGTATGTATGGAGGTGTGCTGCAATCTCAATGCTGTAGGACGGTCCATCCTCTCCGCCCTTGACTTCTAGAACCGGCCACGGTCCTCTATATGCAGTCTGTAACTTCTGCGAGATGTTGCTGTCCTCTGGCAAACTCTTTTGCCTTGACCCAGACTAGGTCGCCTACTTGAAACTGTGATGGGCGACGGTGCTTGTTAACCTGCTCTATCATTCTGTGCTGGGCCTTCCGAATGTTCTCAACAACAGTGGCTAACTCCTTTTCGTGCTGTAGCGCAAACTCCCTGGTACCGGGCGGGAATCTGTGAATCTGATCCCGGTTCAGTCCTTCGAACGGTCTGCGCGGTCTAAAGGACTTGTGCAACTCATTGGGAGTGCGACAGGTGGATGTATGCACGCTTGTCTCACTTTCTCCTGCAGGTCTCTCCCTATATCCAGATAGTGTACTACGACTCCAGAGTAGTCTGATCTCCTACTCAGAGCATCCGCAACTATGTTGTATTTGCCCTTCACTGGCTTGAGCTCAAAGTCGAATTGGTCTATCTCTGCGGCCCACCTAGTCAACTTAGGTGTCATCTTGGCCTGAGTCTTTAACCATCTAAGCGTTTCGTGGTCCGAATACACTTTGAAGTGCCTCCCAAGCAGATAGTGCTTCCAATGGTCTAAAGCCTGCCTGAGAGCGTAGAGTTCTCTCTCGTACGTGGAGGTAGCGACCTTCTCACAGGGCATCCTCGCTGACATGAACTCTACGGGTCTATAGCCATTGCCGTCGTCTTGCTGCAACACGGCGCCTATCTCATACTGGCTCGCGTCCGTGGTGACGACAAATGGCAAAGACGGATCTGCAACTTTGAGGACATGATACTCTATTAACGCGCGCTTTAGCTTCTTGAGCGCAAACATAGTTTTTGTCCCATTGCCAGATTGCCTCTTTCTTCAGTAATCGGCGCAAGGGAGCGGTGATAGTGGAGAAGTTCCTCACAAACTTCCTGTAGTAGTTAGCTAAGCCTAGGAACGACCGCACCTCTGTCAATGTGCGGGGCGTCAGCCAATCTCTAATCGCCGCGATCTTGCTGTCCTCTGGCTTGATGCCATCTCCGTCTAATACGTGGCCCAAGTACAAAACTTGCGTCTTGGCCCACTCGCACTTCTTCACGTTGATCTTGAAGTTGGCCTCTCTAAGCTTCTCCAAGACCTGCCTCAGATGACCCTGATGCTCCTGGAGGGTCTTACTAAAAACTAGGATATCGTCTAGATAGACTACTACAAACTTATCTAACCATGGTCTAAACAGGTCATTCATACAACGCTGAAAAGTAGCTGGCGCGTTGGTTAGTCCAAAGGGCATCACTACAAACTCATAATGCCCATATCTAGTCCTGAATGCCGTCTTGTATTGATCATCAGGATGGACTTCTATGTGATGATATCCGGACTTTAAGTCTATCTTGGAGAAATACTTACAACCTTGCACCCGATCTAAAAGATCATCTATCCTGGGCAGCGGCTCAGCATTCTTCACGGTGATCGCATTCAAACCCCTATAGTCTATACACATTCTCAGCTCTCCTTCCTTCTTGGGGACAAACAAGACGGGTGCTCCAAAAGGAGACGAACTGGGCCTGATCCAACCTTTCCCAAGGAGTTTGTCTAACTGCTTGCGAAGCTCCTCTAACTCTCTAGGGGACATCCTGTAGACTGCACCCTTAGGAGTTCTACTGCCAGCCTCTATCTCTATCCTATGCTGGATGGGTCGCGACACTACTCCTGTCGGCGACTCAGTCAAGTCTTTGAATTCTTCCAGCAGCTTGGCAATTGTTGGATCTGTGGAACTATCCTTTTCCTGGGCCTCAGTGACAGGCCTAACATAAACTACAAAGCCCTGGTCTTCTAACTGCTCCTTTACTAATCGCGCGAACGCGGGAGCACTGAGACAGCAATGTGCCAAGGTGTTATCTACACCAGACACATGGAACAAGTGGGCAGTCTTAACCTCGCCTGACGGACTAGGGAGCCTACACTCATGCTCTCTCAAATGAAGTGTAGCCCCTGCTGCCTCTCCCCAATCCATTCCTAACACTATATCGAAAGGAAGGTCATCTTGCACGAGGAGAGTCAGGGAATGGAGAACTTTCTACACCTTCCCATCCTTCTCTAGGCGAAAATATGCCTGGACTCCCTCTCCATAGTCCTCAACGCGCATCTCGTGCGGTTGTCTGCGAGGACACTAACTATGGGGTCTACTAGCTTTTGGACCTTTAGTCCTAGCCTCAGCTTCTTCAGCGCTCTATGGCTAATGTAACTACGGGTAGCCCCTGAGTCTATAAGGGCCCCTACTCTACTTCTAAACACCTCTACATCTACCAAAATCAATTGTCCCTTACTCTCCCTTTTCATTTTGGCCCAGGCTGGCATCCTCTCCTTTAACTCTTCTGCCACACCTGTGAGGGAGGTGCCTAAAGAGACGCTAACACAAGCAGTCTCTGGACAACTATCTAGGCACGGGCCTGCAACCTCTGCCATAGGCTCATGTGGGTTGGGAGTGTCCTGTTCGTGCGCGCTCACTTCTCCACATGGCTTGGAAGTAGGGGCAGTTGCGACCCCTACTGGCGGCTGCCTTTTGACGACTGAGCAGCCCAACGGGCCTGTCTATACTTTGGACAAAATTTGATAACGTGGGCCGGGTCACCACAGAATATGCACTGACCCCGGTCCATGCGTTCTTGCCATACGCGCTGGTCCAAGCCCAAATCTTCCCAGGGCCTGCCCTGTGGCAAGCCTGGGTGCCATCCTCCTTGAGGTGCCCTTCCACCTCCTCGTTGTGGGGACCGGAATGAACCTTGGCGATTTGACGGGGGATCTTGACCCCTACCTCCCGCTTGGCGGTTTCCTTGGCCGCCAACCCCCTGTGCGCCCGGTCCTCGGCCACCCATGGCCTGGCCCCTTTGGCCCTGGCCTCCTCCTCTACTTTGCGGCCTACCTCCGGCCGCGACAGCAGCGTAAGACCTCCCCTGCCCTACACTACTGTACTCCTCCCCTAGGCCCCACTCAATCTGATCGTATGGCACCTCTTCTGTACTACCCTCCTCTAATGTCAGGATCAAGTGATCCTTGGCCTTGACTTGGCTCGAGATGGTATGATCTTTCCACTTCTTCCCCTTCTCCAGGTCCATATGCCAGAAAGTAGTAACTGGCATAGACTTCGACTCATACAGGACGAATTCTCTACTCAACGCGTCGTAAGTCATGCCGGCCTGTTGAGATTTGTCAAAGAAATGCCCACGTAGGGCCTCTGGAATGGCACGATAAAACAACTGGACCAGCTGGGGCTCAGTGACCTCGTGGTCCGGGACGGCTACCAAGTCGTCCATAGTACCCTTGTGTGCCTTAGCACTCCTCCACTGCCGAGAGTGGATCGTTTGGAGCTTATCAGAGCTCTAATGCCTCGCGTTGGGTCAACGAAACGCTCCTTGAGGAGCTTGAGGAATTGGGAAAGAGGAGTGACTTTGGAATACGCAACCAGGTTGTTTTCACAACTGGCTGTACGTGCAAGGGACCTGGTGAAACTAGCCGCTTCATCTTTCAGGGCCTGGAAGGCCACGAGGACTTGTTCCTCTATCAGGATATGGTGTAAATAAATGTAGCTATTGACACTGGCCTCCCAGTTGTCAAAGTTCTCGTCCTTCTTTCCCCCGTACGCATCTGGGAACTTGAGCTTCACTGGGTCCTTAAGGGGTTTGGCCTCTCCCTCAGCGGCTACAAATTTGGCACCCCGAATGGCGCCCTCACAAAACTTCCCTACATTGTCCCTCAACTGTTTGACTTCGCCCCCAATGTGGGTGACGATTTCGCGCGCAAAATCCCTGAACCCGGACCGCATGGCACTCAACGCTACATCCTGGCTCCAACTTGCCTAGCGCTCCTCCATCCAGGCCTTGCTCAACACCTTTAGATAGCCCAGTACTTTGTCCCACTTGGCCTTATCATCTGGCTGGGCCACCACCTCCGCTCTACACTCCTGCACCTTTGCCACTGCTGCGGTCATCTTATTCACTTCCTCTCTCCTCCTCTTCTTCTCCCTCTTCATTCTCAACTTCCATGCTAACTTTTGCTCGTCTTCCCTCTCTCTTTGTTCCATTGGGTCTGTCATGGCTGCTAGCTCAGCGGCCAGCGCAGCCTTCTCATCCTTAGTCACATATGACTCTGCCTCCTCGTCTTCCCCCAACGATAAATTAGCGACCCACTCGCTGATCTTCTTCTCCAGCTCAGTATCTGCCTCCCACTTCATCGTGCCACCACTACTTCCTTCCCCACTCTCAATTCTCATTCTCTCTTTCTCTTCTTCTGCTGCCGCTCCTGCTTCAGCAGCCTTCCTTCTTTCTTCCTCCTCCTGTTGTACCTGCTTCGTTTCCTCCTCCAATCTCTTCATCTTCGCCGCCTGCTCGTCTGTGATAGCCTTTAGCTTGGCTTGCTTTTCACGCTCTTTCCTCTCCTCTCTCTGACTAAGGCGGCCATCTTTTCTTGCTGCTCAGTGGTGTAGGGGCCAGTCTCCTTCCCACTGCGGGTCTCAACCATGGTGATAAGTGTACAACCGGGTTAGTGGTTCCAAACCTCACCACGTAGACGTCAACCCCTGACTGACAGACCTACTGACTCAATCTAAGACTCGCAGAACCCTGACAGGGATCCTGTCAACTATGGTCTCTAGCCTAGACCTACACTATGGCTGTCACTACTGAACCAGTGGCTGATCAGGAGGCATTTAAGGAGATCCCCCGTAACTCCTCAATAATTCTTTAACGTCGCAGACAGGAGGATGTGATCAGCTTGGTTCTGCCTGTGCTTTCAGCCCACAACTCAGCCTTTCCGGCCTACTGTGCCACACCGAGCAGCCCGCCGGTCTGTACCGGTCCTTGGGAGGGTTCGTATCCCCCGGGACAGTCGAGTCGTCAGACACAGATCATCAGCCTTACTTGGTCTGGTAGGGGAGTGGTTCCAACAGGCCCTCAACACTTAACGACGGCCTCCGTTTCAGCCTGCAGCTCGGTGTTCAAACCCTCTACACTGAAACTGAACAGACCTGCCGGACAGTACCGGTCATTGGGCTAGACGAGTTGTTTAACGAGCGCTCGCCGCTCATGCCCAGGTCTCCAGATACCAGAGTAGAGATTAGTCCTACTAAGTCCCGTGCAGGTTTGGCAGCAAGGCCCTATCCTTCATCCACAGAGTTCTATGACCTAGGACAGAAGAGACTCAATGCAGAAAGAATAGACAGACAGACTAT